GTGTGTTGTAGTGCAGCAACGGATCGCGCGACATTTGATGAGCTCTCTGAATGTGCACCGACCACTTCATCCAAACGTTCTGATATTAATCGACTGAACCATCTCGTTCATGTTGATCAAACTACACTGCATTGAGCTTCGAGCCCGCCTAGCGCGTAGTGGAGAACAGATGATAAACTGTTCGATTTGCGCCTTGCGCACTACAACCAGCTTTCACATAAGGGTATGTCGAGCGGCGGGATTTTGGGTTGTTACCGAGGGCACATCTGCAGTGGCCTCTGTGTTATATAGAGTTTTCGAATTGTAAGTGTGTATTACCACATAAGTTATTTCTGAGGCAAATATAGTAATTTCAGACAAGAGCAGCAACGTAACCACGTTTATATAACTTCTAACAAAATCGTTCACAGACAAAGCCGTCTATTAAACAGCACCCGTTAATCGATTTAGTACAAGCACATTTGCCTGTATAGAGATTTTCATAAACGATGAACAAATACAAACAGAGAACAATGCAACACTTATTAAAGCATTCCACTATGTTCTTCACAACACGCAGTAGAAAACTGTGAAAATAGAGTAAGCTTATTTGTAACAACAAAAAATAAAAACAATGCTCAAGCATAATTCACCGTTTTTCCTAAAAGTCGAGCATCAGATCATTCTCTCACAGACATCACATATTAAGACGAAAGGATTTCTGTGCTCTCACCGTGGCAGCGCAATAAAACCTGCATAACCCAGTAGAAAAATAGCAGAATTACTCTACGGTTAGCAAGGACTGAAATGCGTAAAAAACGTATTTGCATTAAAGACGACAATCAATCCATGTCAGAGTCGTCGCCAACGTGATAAATTCGATCGAAACCAAGAAAACGCCGCGTCACTGCACCCGTTTTCACTATAAGCTTTCCTTGCCATTTTGGATCGCGTGATTTGAAACCAGTTACCTGCAACAATTTTAGGTGAAGTAAGAGCTAAGCAGATATTGTACGTATATATACCTACCAAGTGCTTTTCAATCACATGCTCAGCAAGATGTGACTTCAGCACGACTTCTCTGCAAAGCTTGCACAACAATTCACGATTGTTCGTTTTGGGAATCACCGTACAATGAGTCGTTTCAAAATGTGTTTTCATTCGAACGCACTGAAAATAATGATTCGGAACGTATGATGGAATGCTAACGTATGTCCTATCTCGCACTCAAACTCCCGTTTACGCCCACATTGCGTGGGAGTTTGGGGTAAGATGAAAGTCGTTCCCTCCAACACGTTACTCCACAGTCAGGCCTCGGCACGAGGTCTGCGATTGGACCTTACGAGAATGACTACCCGCTTGAAATCCATGAAACTACGAAGTCCCCTTTGTAACCTGTACAGACACGTGCAATCAGGACAAGTATTGCAGTGCGGTATGCTTGGAGCGCGTTTTCTTCATTAAGGTAATACGATTTAGGGCTCTAGCAAAGGAGGGAGAAAGTGTTTTGACCTGGTAAAAAGTGTTTGCTATAAGCAGCTCAAAATTATGAGAAACAAAAAAGTGCTTGCTAATCGAAGACCTGAGGTCTCCCGTAGGTTTCCGCCGGAGACTTAAATCACAAAAAAGTACGCCGATTTCTCCATTCTCATAATATTTCAAAGATTTTTCAAACACTTCTTCTATTCTTTGTTGTGCATCTTTAT